AAAAAAATCCAAAAATTCTTTAATCACCTCAATATCTTCTAATTTCAGCCTTCTTTTCTTTTTAGTGTTAACCATATTTACTAGCCCATACATCCACCTTTCATCATTTTCCAGGCTTTCATGGCTAAAACTAGGGTTACGGGTCTCACTCGTGTTTTAGCTTGTAACTTGAAAGGTTGCTTATCCGGTGGATGAAATGCCATTTTCTTAGCTATACAATGAATTGATGCCCCATGCTTACCTAGGCAATCCATGCCTAGGATAACGTCGAAGTCTTAAATACTCAAGACTATGAGGTTGACATATAAAGTATTATCTCCAATCTTCATTTCATATTGCTTAACTATGATGTTTGATTCTAGTGACTCTCCAAATGGAAGCATCACTTTGTATGTAATGTCTAAAACTTCAAGTGTCATGCCTATTCATCTCAATAGTGACCATGCAATAAATAAATACGTGACACCTAAATATATCAATGCATATACGAGTGAGATTGGAGATTGAGACATGACTACATATAACATTAGCATCCTTATTATTTACATCCTCCTACGTCAATGTAAATACCCGTCGAGAACTCATCGTCCTTCAATCAATTTCTTCTTCAAACAATTGTTAGTCGAATGCCCTATTTCTTGAAAAAAATAAAATACATTCATGTTAATTGAAAAATCTCTCATGTGTAATTGCTCACATTTAGGACACTTCGATATTCGTAGTTCCCCTATCCTTGGTGGCCTTGATGGTGCCTTTCTTTCTTATTATCTTTATGCCAATTCGAGTGAATAGCCTCTTTCTATTGAATTGTCTTTCAAACCTACTTAGAGTGATCCTTTCTTTTCTTGTACCGGGAGGTGGTCCTCGAGTCCACTCCCTTTAGCCGTTCTCAATGCCAAATGCCTTTTTCACCATATCCTTATAAGTATCTATTGACATCCGAATAAAACTCTTAATATCGGTCTTTAGTCCTTGTAGGAAATGCTTCTTTTTCCTTTCCTTGTTTTCAACAATAAAGGTGGTGTAGCGACATCCATGTTCGAACTTACATACATATTCCATCATCGTCGAATCTCTTTGTACCAACTAGAGGAACTCCTAAACCTTTAGAGACCCGATAGTATTCGAGAAATATTTTTTATTAAATAACTCCTTAAATCGATCTCATGTAAAGCTCGTCACATCAACATATGCTATTATTTTCTCTCACCAATTTCAAGCATCATAGCTAGCATAAAGGTCATGCACGCTAGACGATCGGCATCCATCGGAGGCAATAGCTCAAAGATGACCTCCTTGGACTTAATCCATTCCTTCATAACATTGGGATTTGGACTATCTATGAATTCTTTCAAATTAAACCTTTGAAAATGCTTTACTTGTTTCGACCCTTTATGGTGGCCATGCTTTGATTGTTCCACATTAACTCGATTCTAAAATCCTCTGTAATTGTTGTTCTTGCCTTTTTTATCGCAATTCCATAAGTTTTTGATGCCTTCGAAGAAACTCTATTAGCTCACCTTTTTGATCCATCGACATTTAGCTCGAACTCGTGCCATTACTAACGTTAATCAACCATCCTTTTTACCAACATTGTTTTCCTCTCTCTTAATTTACGTGCACAAACAATTTAAATTACCTCATTCAATCTAATCATACTATTTATAATTATCATTCATAACACACTTGCTACTCTATGCAAATTCAAGCACAATAATTTCACACATCAAAGTATCATGCCACTCATATTCATCACATGCATACATTGAGTAATCATAACAATCAATCATCAAACATACTTACCGATCACCAAAGGTCGCTATCTATGTATCTTGTATGCGCCTTCCTTGATTTTTTTTATTAAACCATGCTCGATACCACATCCGTAGCACCTCCAACCTAGGACTTAATAGATCAAAAATATTACTACTCTTGACTTACATGCGAAGTGTAATGAATGCAAACCAACAAGGCATTATGTCTTTTCTTAAGTATTCTAGGTATGGAACTAGCTACAAAAGTCTAATAATGATGAGCATGTCCTAAATTTTAGCTCAAAATGCAAGATAAATTTTTTACATTTTAAAATTTTATTTAGATTGCTTAGACTGAATGGATTGGATCTATGATGCTCGATTTTCTCAAATTCCTTTTTTATTGGCTTGTATAAATTTATTTAATTATTACACGTTATTCGGTAATTAATTCTTTTTATCCTTTTTAATTGTTACTTATTATAATTATTTTCTTATTACTTTCTTATTATATAATTAATACTAGCATGTAAGAAATCAATTTAAAGAAGACCACACTAATTATAGATATACTTGTGATTTTACTATCGATAATTTTACTAACATACGACTATTTTTAATTTACACGTATCAATTCTATGCCATCTACAATAAAAATGACTTATTATCTATTTACATCTATTTCCTTTCTAACTAGCTACTCATTTCTTCATGGCCTTCACTATCATACAAAAGAACGAAGCCATACCTAGAAAATAAATTAAGACACTTAGCATTAAAATAACTATCACCTGTAGAAGGTCCATTATGTAGCCACAACCAAGATACACACAACGCATAGAGCCCTCAATAGTTAGTTCAAATGTGAACATTGTCATCTTTATTTTTAGTACCTACACCACCATAGGAATTAGGTGAGCGATTGCTTAGTAAGTTAACCTATGCATGGTATGCATGTAAATGGAATGTACTTGATAAATTATTTGCATGCTTTTTTGAAAAATTCCCTTCCGTGTCATAACATCGTCATCATGATTATTTTGAAAATTATTTTTTATCTTTAGACATGTCCCATCATAAGAACTTTAAGGGTTCCATAATATGTTTAGAGAACCATACCGATCCGTAAATGCGCCTTATCGAGTCTCTAAAAGTACACATCCGTACCCATTCAACCTCGACCCATGAACCATGAAAGGTATGGAAAACATGTGAAGCCCTCCTCATAAAACCATGAAATTCATGAAAACTTTGTAACCATGAAATATTTTCAATTGCTATTGAAAAATCCTTAAAGGAAAAATATCCTTTTTCATGACTAAAAGCTTTTCCATGAAATCCTTTCCATGATTTGGCATGTATATGCATTTTTAATGTAAATGCATAATCATTATGATTCCATGTAGTGCATTCCACAAATGGAGTGCATTTATACCATTATAATGCATTGCTCAATATTATAAACTCGCCACAACATTCATACCTTGCATTCCCATCCAAACCATTCCAAACAAGGAAACATTAACTTAAGCATTACATAACACACATTGGCAACAAACCAAGGTATTACACTTGATCAATCATCAATTTCTCAACCACTACACATAGTAAACACGAGTGCTGAAAAAATTATCCTAAGTGTATCGAATTTTCTATCAACCTCTTTACAACTATTACATGCCCATGAAATAGTTTTCTTACACTTTTATTATATTTTTAATTCCTTTAATAACGACTTTAGTATATTAGACTCCACCAACCTTGAAAAATATAAAAAATGAAAATGATAAGAGAGAGAGAGAGAGAGAGAGAAGAAAAGAACAAAAAAGAAAAGGTGAAGAGCAAAAAAAATATAAAGAAATGTAAGGTGAAAATTAACGAGTTTCATATCTAATAAGGACTGATATTAATTCAAATCAATTATAGTTTAGTAATTTGGTCGTTCTCCAATATGCCAATTATATGAAGACTTCAACTAAATTGGTTGTTAAATTGATGAGACTTCATGCATTAGGGTCCGACAATCGATTCAATATGATGCCACAAATAAAAATAAAAAAATTATTTTAACTTGGATAAAAAAAAAACTAGAAATAATTGACTTAGAAATAATTTGAAAAAAAAAAAAGAAGAAACTTTTAGGAGATAAATTTTTATGATTAGACCAAACATGACATCTTCTTCTTGAAAAAAAATACCTTTTGGTGATTAATATGTTTGCAAAAGACACAACCAACCCTTTATTCTAAAATTTCTCAACTAGTGTCATTTTTAAGTTTTCTAATTCTTTCAATATTAGGTGATAGACTCCAAAATATAGTTTAATTCATATTCTCAATAAATAATAGTAAAAAACAAAATAAATAATTTTTAATAAATTTTTTGGAAGTCTCTCAAGTGTCGAATTGCCGAATTGTGACAATATAGCAACATGACTTATGCAAGAATGGGTTGTACAGACCAACAAGACATTCTGACCATAATCAAATCTTTGCTTGGTTTCAAACAAGTAAAGGTAGGTGTGCTTTATTTCTTGTAACATCTACACTCTGTGTGGATCATAAGTTGGAAACACTGCCATTCTATTCGAATTGCTCGTACCCCGACATAATATATTCATTGAAACAAGACACCGCCAAATTTACCTTATAGTTGCAAAATTTAATCCATTCAACTTAATGGGACTGAATTGCATTAAATCTTAAAATGACAACCAATAAAAAACTTGAAAACAGTTCCGGAGTGAAAAAATTAATTTCTTTTCAAGAAAATTTTTACCGAGTCATCATACAATTTAATGTAATTCAGTCCAATTAACCTAAACTGACTAAATTTTGCAAACACATGATACAATTTGATTCACTAAATTTATACGAACACAAAGGAGTGAAAGGACAGTCTTTTTGTTTGGTTGGGTGGGTGGGTGGGGGGATGGGCGCGCGGGGTTGCGGTCTTAGCCAGATTGCTCTCTCAGGAAGGATATTTTGGCTCAGTCCCACGTACGTTGTGAAAACGTAGATGAGACCTCGGAGAGCCGCGCTCATATGATAGTAAAGTTAGCATAGCTTCTTATTAAAATCCAAAGATCGCGCAATGCACCCTCAACTACAGCAGCTACAAAATTCATGGTGCAAATCTGCAACACTGCTTCTGATTAAATCAGGTTGTTTTTGTTACAGCACACCTACCATAGATAAGGTGTTGTTACCCGAGGTTCCCTGGACTACGAAATACGAATTCGTAAACTCATTCAACAACAGATGTGATAACCTCTGTTGCACCATGGAGGTGCCCTGCAGTCATAGTTTTGCAAACTAATCAAAGCATAGACAAACTAAGGCTGGGCACATTTTCAGTCTCGAGTTTGCAATCAAATAAGGCTGCAAATAAATCAAAATTTAGACCGATCAAAGCTAAATTACCATAATCTTAAGACTCAAATTCCATGATGATACTAAACAGAAGATATTGAGGTCTGTGTAAAGCATGAAAGCATGGTGTAATGCATGAATGAATCCATTCATCCTTACCAGTTGGAGGCTCGTGCAACTCCCACCCCAAAGCCCCTGGTTCAATTCATCCTTGCCAGGTTAAAACATGTACTACTACCATCATCACCCCACCATAGAAAAGTACAACAAAGAGTGAAATCACACCAATATTTGTCAAACCATCCATCTTATTAGAGAAATTGACAACAATAAGTAATGAAAGGACTTTTTTTTTCAAGACGTAACGAAAGGAAAGGACTCTAATAGTACATAGAAATAGCAAATCTAGTTTTCACTACCTGATGAAACCACCCAGCCAAATCTAATAGTACATAGAAATAGCAAATCTAATTTTCGCTACCTACCCAGCCAATTAACATGATTTCAATTTCGTGCAGATAAGTCCTAAGCCTCAGTCTCATCCCTTCATAAAAGCAAGGAAATGCCCCTCATAGCAAACTTCACCATCAATCTCCTCATGAAGAAAGTGCAAGAACTAGAAAAAAAAATCCACTGGAGCAAAGATAATGATGAACCCCCTCTTAATTACACTGCCTATTTCATCGTTGGAACCTCCTACAAACCAACTACTGGTAAAAGCTATACAGACTAAGGACTTTTAGGTACAGAGCCACAATGAAGCAATACTGGGAGTGTAAGGCTATGGGTTTCCTGAAACCCCATCTATGAATAACTGTTTTCTGAGCTAATTGCATGCACCACCATCACTTCCAGTCTATCAAGATTTGTCATCTGAGGAAGCAATATCATTTTTATCTGCATTAAGATTGATATTAGATTGTGATTTGTCACCTGTGGCCACTTCATTCTGTTGTTGATTCTCTTTTTTCTTCGAATTGAGAAACCGACCCCCACATCCTCTAGCTCTTCTCAGTGCATGCTGATGTCGAGATTCATGCAAGTATGGCTGCAAGATTACTTTTGAGTTGTCATGAAACATCTAATGTCACAAAGGACATGGTGCCACAAAGACGGGGGTGTAACATGATTGCAAACATAGGAGAATAGCCTAACACTAAACATGTATAGTCACATGGATGTAAGAAATCCAATCAGGTAATCATAGTCTCATTCATGTGGCATTGGAGCATTCAAGAAACTCCAGAATATTACCAATGAGAAATCAGAAAACTGATGGTCTTCAAGTTTCCTATGAGCCACATTCAGACAGTCTTTAAAAATTATACCAGTGGCCTAGACATGCTTGACCTAATGTGATAGAGGAATAAAATGTCTGAAAAGAATATATAGGAGAAAGTGCAGTTGTGGAACAATAACAGCAAGAGATTCATGTAAGCCTTCTTTATTTTAGATTCTAATAAATTAAGTGAAGAAAACACAATAAGGAATGCAAGCAGAATGAAATTGGCTTCAGACAACCAAAACTATACCTTCCGAGACTTAATTGCTTTGTTTTCTGATTCAGCTTTTGCACGAGATTGTCGCCGTCTCAAGATACCATGATACTGTTTAGCATTAACGAATACAGGTTCCTCAACAGCATCAGATGGCAAGGGAACTCCAGCTTGCTGAATTCCCATCAACTGAAGATGGACCTGATTAGATGTATGCTTGTGAGAATTACTTGTAGCAAAAAATACAAAAAATAAAAAATAAAAAATAAAAGTTTGCTCATAAGCTACGGCCAAAAAGCATACACTTCCAGTGATATTTAAAGTCACCTATGAACAAAAAAAGCCAGATATTCAACCCCGAAATAGGACCCCATTGAAATGTAGCCATCCATCCATCAATATTTACCATAGTTGATTGTTAAAGGGTTGCCACATAAAACACCAAATACCTACTCGAACCCAAGTGAACCATCTCCTTTCTTCCTCTTCTCTCTATATTGACCATCTCTCCATTTATCTCCAAAATAACTCTCTTCCCAAAACTCACCATCATTGCACTCGTAAACACAATCTATAACCAAAATTGCCCACAACACATGGTGGGTCTGCCCTGTCTTCATCCAATTTCATCTCTTCAAAATCTTATTTCTCCACTGTAAAAACCTGGCAAAACCCTCACTCCAAATTTCTCAAACCCCTTCAACACTGCTGAAATATGGTCGAAAAGAAAGTGACTCCCCAAACCCAAGTCCCCAAACAACAAAATCCACAAGACCAAAATCAAAACTTGACCCAATAAAACTTACATCAATTATCCATAGAAAAGCTAATAAATAGCTTCAATCTTTAAAATCTCTCAAAAGTTTTTTGGGAGTGAGAAGTCGATTTTGGGAAATTAAAGGAACAGTTTGTTTACCAATGTTCCTGGTTTTGGTGGTTTGATATTATCTTTCCCAACACTCAACCATGGTTCAAGAATTGGTATCAACAGACAGGAAAAAAAAAGAGAGAAAAGAGGAAGAAAAAAGAAAAGAAACAGTATGCTTTGTAGGTTAAGGAACAGAAGGAAACAAAAATTGAGAAAGTGTGTTAAAATCTGGAGAAAATCTGGTGAAGAGTGAGTGAGAGAGAGGGGGGAGAAAGAAAGAGAGAGGAAAAAAGTCCGTTAAATATTAGCAGGTTTTATTTGTGGTTTATGGGACCTTTGATGTTCAAATAAGTCCAAATCAACAAAACCCTAAATTTTGTCAACTGATGGACCAGATTGCAATGTACTCATAGTTCGATGGTGAAAATTTGGGATTTTTAGTTCAGGGAAGACTTGAAACTTTGCTGAAGTTCAGGTTTTTAAAAATTTGGCCTCAATTAAATGTGGTCTCAAATTGACAAATCACAAGACCTACAAGTTTCTTAAAGAACCCAGCATACAGCATCAAAAGATAAATTACCATTGGTTGTCCACCATAGGGCTGTGGAGGATAAGGCTGAGCGTCATATGGAGCAAAAATGCTTCTATAATAAGGATCTGGATATGGGTAAGCTGCTGATGCCTTCAATTCCAAAAAAAGAAGCACAAAAGTTAGCATGTCGAAGTGCCTCGTACTTATTTGGTGGAAACGAGTGCTGGATTAAAATTGTTAGCACAGCTGTGAGAGAATTATCACTTTTGAAAGCAAAGTTAAAGAATATCAAAAGTCATGATGTGGAAATGAAAAATTGTTGCAATGCAAAGTAATTAGGATGTGCTTCATTCAATATGTTATTGTATTTCATTTATCTGAAACTCAACAAACTTCCACACAGGCATGCTTACCTTCAGTGAAAAAATCATGATCACTCCATGCTGAATAAAGTTGCCTAAAAATCTTAGTGATACACCATTAAAAAGTTTAATTCATAGAGAAATAGAGGCATGTGTTGAAAGCAACGGTAGTTGTCAAGCTGATTGTCAAAAGAAAACTAAAAATACCATTAACAGAGACGTAGCTCTAAGCACGAGAACACCGCAAAGGCAGTGGCAAATATTTTTCTAAACTGCAATGTGGGCAACAAAAAATCTCTTGGTATACTAGCAAAAATAAACACTCTTGGTAAAACTGCATATCAACAGGCCAGTACATGTCCCCTGTTTACTATTGACCAAGTTAAAAAATTCATTAAACATAACAGGCAGGGTGAGAACAAAGCTAATTATATTGCAAACAACGCATCTACAATGTTAAAATAATTACATTGAACTGTTGACAATATTTATATGCAACAAAAATCAAAGCACATACACACAGAAATGCTATTAACAGAAAATATGTGAATCATGCCTTCACACACAAATTCACATCAGTGAATAACAATAACTTATTATTCTGTATCTCATACCATAGTATGTCCTGCTCCAAGCTGTGGCTGTGGAGTTGTGTACTGAACATTTGGAGTTAAGATGCCCGGGTGTGCCGGTGCAGTTGCAGGAGTAGAAGACTGAATCTGTGTTTCTGATTGTTTTTGCCGCTCATCAGCTTCACTATTATCTAGACAACCAGCGTTCAAAAATATTATTATCATATGTTAAGCATCAACATGGATTTTTCCAACAAAAGAGGAATACTCAAGCTTCAGAAAAATAGCTAACATTAAAAAGAACCATCGAAAGAGCGAGGAGCTCCAGCACAATAAAATTGATCAAAGAAGTCAACTATTATAAGCAAATACACACTGAGTTTAATCTGCATAGGCAAAACCATCTTAACATAGATAGAGATGATTAAATAAACTCGCCTAATAGATTAGAGTCCATTAAGCAAGAAAAAGACCATCTTAGGGGCCACTCCAAACCACAAGAAGCACTAATCATGAAGTATTACTGTAGGAACATGCAAAACTTATTGAGGACCACAGAAGAAGTCAACGAGTTTGGCTTTGATAAGACCACTAATTAAAAGCACGTTACAATCTAAGGCCGATGACTGTTTTCTGAAAAATATATGACAGCTAAAACTAATGAACTCTATCAAATAATTCCAAGAAAATCCCTAGGAGTAACCAAATACCTAAGATATTTTTCTTCACAATTACAAGATTCCCTCCATGTGGGAGTGTAAATTTTCCACCAAATTTGATAAGCATAGAATTCCCATGAAATACGGAAATGTTTATTATCCTTTCCTGTTCTTTTTTTATTACTATTATTTAGCTCGGATCCAGGAGGATTCAAGCAATGCAACTGGAAATCTCACTAAAATTCTGCCCACTGACCAAAATATTGCTGAGGCAAGTTGAACAAATGAAAGAAACATAAATCCTAATAACCCCATGTTCAAGGTCAAATCCTAATAATACTAAATATCTAAATTGAGCAATTGACAGAAACATGAATAAATTTTACATTCCATCCATTTACAGAGAAAATACTGTATAGCTAAAGTAGTAACTGCAAGGTAACAAATTTGCAAAAGCATCTTAAGAAAGTTACCAGAAAGATCATGCACAGAAGAAGTCATGGCTGTTATGCACACAGAGTCCCCAAGCTCAAATCTGGAAGCACAGTAAACACCAAGGGAAAAAAAAAAAAAAAAAAAAAAAAAACCAACGTCAATGTAAGAGCATGAAGATGAGATGCTAGTCGAGTCAGATACAACCACAACAAAGCTCCTAAGCCCTTCCAGCCAGTTAGTCAATGAGGGCTGAAAGATTGAATATACAATACAAGATCACACTAGAATAGGTCTGGTAGCTAATAATTGTGCTATCAAATATAATTATCTGAGCAATCCTCCCTCGTGCAAATAATTAAATTTGTAGCTTTGTCTATTCATTTGCATCAGAAAAGTGTTGCTATACCAAACATTTTTGAAGTTCTTAACTTCACTCTCAGTAATTTACTAATGTATAGGAGATCATTGGACCTTCAGTACAAGTGGTACTTCTCTCCCAATTAGTGCGGAAGATCCAGGGCTCAAATTGAAAAAAAAAAAAAAAAAAAAAACGCCGTTCTAACTCTTCAGGGTGCAAGAAATTAAAGAAAGGGAAGGACTACCCTTCATTATGTAACTCAACCCTTGAAAAAAAAAATGAAAGAAAGTAAACAATAGCAGAGACCTTTTTCTATACATTTTCCACAAAGAAAACAAAGATTGGCGCACATAATTTTGATTCACTTGAATAAGCAATGCATACATTGCAGAATCAAGCAGTTTTCTACATGCTATCATAAAACAAAATTCTCACATAACACATGCTCAAACTGCAATACTACATAAATTATGGTGGAGAGAGAGTAGCTAATCAAAGATTTTCCCAAGAATTTAAACTATTAGACAATATCCTGATGAGAGATATGCAGATGGTCCTCAAAAACTCAGATAAAACACAAAATGTTCATTGTGGGTAACAGAGACACATAACATAGTAGTTTTCAATCAAAACAGAATCTAAAGTCTAGACATTAATTTACATGATTTCCCTTCAAATTAGCTAAATGACTTTAAACAAACCTATAAAACACCGCCCCCACTGCATCCAACTTGACAACACAAGGTTACCCACCACCTAACAAGCTACTGGAATAGAACTCAATAATGTAGAACTAATAATGATCAGATTTTGTCTCAGAGTGCTTCTCCATATTTCTAAAGATTTTTTGAGAAAATTTCATTACATACATACATATATATATACATATATATATATATATATATATACATATATATATATATATATATATATATATATATATACATATATATATATATATATATATATATATATACATACATACATACATACATAGACACACACTGACATATATATATATATTTGGTAATGCTACTGCAGCATGCCCAATAATAAACTCGAGTACCACAACCAAAAGAACCTCACCTCAGTCTTCAACATGCCGTCCATGCTGCTGCCACCTAAAACTCGTATCAACTATTCCACCTTAAAACCCCCAAACCTTAGAACCTCAATTCACCCCATCACTAAATAACTCCACATCTTTAAACTACCACCCCATTACTTGCCAATTAGTCATAAAAGCTCATTATCAACAAGAAATTATAAAACTGAACCAGCCACCTAATCATTCAACCAATAATCAACTCAATTAACTCATGTACCCTAACCAACTCCCCCAAATTTAACTCTCAATTAACTCATTTCCCAAAATATGAACTCACTAAACTCGCCCACACACAAAAATCGAATTATTATTATATATATAATGAAATGAAACAAAGCACTTCACATTCATTACCAATTCCCTCATTGAAACCAAGAAAAATAGCATAATTTTCCGTTCGTTTGCTGAGAAAACGCATGCGATTCAAAAAAAAAAAAAAAACCCGAATTTCCATCCGTTATCAAACATTATCTCGGAACCAAACAGTGTTTAAATACACAAATGAAGGAGCAAAGAGAACAGAGTTTCAATCAAGAGAGAGAGAGAGGGATTTGAATTGGAATTTGATTCAAGAGAAAGGAAATGGATTAGGGATTCGAGTTTCGAAATTTACCTTATAGAGAAACTTCCTTCTGTTTTTGTTTCTGTTTTTTCAGAGAGAGAGAGAGAGAGAGAGAGAGGCAGGCCCTTTTATGGTTAATGTTGTTTGTTGACGTTCAGAATTCTCTGATGCTGCTGCAGGTAAATAATAATAAAAAAAAGAATTATTATAACTCCTTTTGTTTTCTTTTGGAGGAATCAGAAACATAGTAACGTAAATAGAATTCAGTTTTTACTTTATCTGCTGCTGCCTATCTGAACACACGTCTCCTTGTCCTCCTTTTCTGGCCTTACCATGATTTTTTTTTTTTTTTTCCGTTTTGGGCCGCGGGATGATCCTCCTTTTTGGGAATAAATTACAATTTAGTAATTCTTGTTTTGAGAAATGAATTAACATATTTCATTCGTTTTAAAAACTAATCATTACTTCATATTTTAATTTCATCAATAACTTAACAATTTCATTGGTTTTCAATTAGAATGGTGATAAGGTGTTTTTATTACAATGTCTCTTTTCCTCAAATCATCTTTATTTTTTTGCATTATTTATCTCTTTTATCTACATCTTTACTCCATTTTTATCACTTCAAGTATATATCTTCATTTGTCTTCTCAAATCTCTTTCTTACATTTTACTTATAAAATTTCATTTTCTCCCAAATTGTGAATTTATTCACTTTCTTCTAGACTTCCATCATCATTATTGTCACTTTATTCAAAAGAGCCCACACTTCTAAGATTTCGTCTTTACACATTTTAGTCAATTAAATATGCCAAGAATGGTTTAAAATTTCTTCTTTAGATATTTCAATGAATTGAGTTTGAGGAGAAGGATGATAAGTTTCATTCGGATTAAGTTGGAGCCATCGACCCAATTTGAAGCTTTGCTTATAATTTGTATCTTAGATCTCGATGAATCGGGTTTGTTGAGAAGCGAGAAATGTAACAAAAAGAAGGGCTAGAAGAATAAAAACTAGCATTTAGTAAACTAGATGTCTCATGTGAGATGAAGAATAAGAAACTTCTATTTTCATCTTTTGCTTCTCATTGTCTTTTTTCGGCATAATTGTTTACCTTGAAAATATGCACAATTGTGATTTTGACAACATTGATGGATATATACGTTAAAAAGTATTTTAAGTATTAAGTGTTACTTTGATGAATATGGCGATGACTTAATGATGAAAGATTAAATGATTAGTTTTTTAAAATAAAAATAGCTAATTTATAATTTACTTTTTTTCACCTTACCATGATTTTTATTTTATTTATTATTTATTGTAATTTTATTTCTTGGGTCGAGGGATGGGATGAGAGTAAATAAAAAATTAGTTATTCTAGTTTTAAGAAATCAATTAATTAGTCCCATTGTTTTTTAAATACTAATTATTTAATTTATTAACTAGTGATGATCATATTTGTCATAACTCGTTTTTTACTCTATAATATTTATTTTTATACGAAATTCTAAAAATTCAAAACTTATGATTGTTGTATAGTTACCAAACTTTTCTATAATTTTATGTATTTTTTATAATTTTGAGGATTTAAACCCCTTAGATTTTTTGCCTAATCTTAATATATATATATATATATATATATATATATATATATATATATATATATATATATAAAGGAAAAAAAGAAGAAGAAGAAGAAGTGAAATGAAAATGGGGTTGATACTATGGGTTCTAATTAGAAATAATTTAAAAGTATAATGGATCAATCTAGAAATAATTAAAATCTTAGGGAAGGAAATTGGGAACAATTAGGAATCAAATTGTGGAAATTAGGGAAAGAAGGATCAAAACATCATGGATTGGAAGGCTAGATTGAAAAAATTGAAACACACAAGATTAGATGGAAAAGGCACATGATTAGGGAGACCAACTTAAAAATATTTTTCCAAGCGACTCATTTTTTATCCTTTTGCTTTCATCCACTAGAAGTCTTCCCCTCCCTTTATTGTTCATCATCTTCTTCAATTTAAAACCTTTGTTACGATCCATAACCAATGCTAATTTTTTTTTTTTTTTTGCCAAAAATCCTTTTTCCTAGCCAACTAGCTTTGTACCTTATACTCATTTCTCCTCTAATACCTCAAAATAGGTGCCAACTACTATATTTGTTTTCTATTTTCACGCTTCTAAACCTATTGAATATAAAACAAAAACAAAAAGAGGGTTTACATAGTAGCATGAGAAAAAAAGAAAAAGAAAAAGAAAAAGAATAACATCTATAATACTTCAAAATGAAAGGTGAGGATTTGTTGAAGGTAGATAAAAGGTTGATATGAAAAGAAATAAGAGGAGTATATAAGTCCTAGCTTAAGGAAGCAAAAAGGGAGGATTTTTTTTCCTCTTTATGTAGACAAGAGACGAAGTCCATTTCGAGGAATTGGTTATTACCTACGAAGCTCACTCTCTTTTTCACTAAAAAAAAAAAAAAAAAATTAAGCCATTAGATACGGATAATTCCATCACTAAACCTATGTATTTTGTTGTTATTTTTTTAGTGATGGAATGGCAAAGAAACCAAACTGCAGGTAAAACGTTTGTCATTAATAATTTTAGCGAAGAAAGTTACCATCCTTCATAAAATTAACAACATTGTTGGTAAGTTGCTTTACTTCTATGGCTATATAAAGAAGAAAATTCCTCGTAGAATTTGATTGCTACATTTAGTCAACTAGACCATAGCTTGGTGTCATAATATACTAATGAAAATTTCTATTATTCGTCGATGATTTGTCAATAAAATCTGTCGCCATTGATCGATCATGTAGCGATGAATTCTATAGTTATTTGTGTCATCAACTAAATTTTGACGGACTAGATAAACATCAAACACGAGAAGAAAAACTGATTTGGTGGAGAGGGTGAGAGTGGCCAAAAGTGAGAGGAAGAAAACATCATTTTATTCTTGGATGTTCTAAGTTGAGAAAAGAGGGAAGAAAAGAGGAATATTTGTGAGCCTTTAACTTTAGTGTTCTAGCCTTGAAAAAAATAAGAAAACAAGAGAGAAGATGAAGAAACTGATTTCATAAGCCAACTAAATGTAGACGAGTTTGGTCAAAAGTTAGAAGGAGAGGAAAGTTAGATAGCTTTGGTTGAAACTTTACAAGGGAGAAGGAATTAAGCCTTATTTGATCTTTGGATATTTTCAACACTAGTTAGACTCCAATTAAGTGTAACTCGAGCTACATCACAAGACATAGGTGTTAGAAGCTTTGATGTTTATGTGTTGCTTGACATTTGACATAAGTATTATCTATGGCGTGATGATTGATACTTAAATTGGTGTTTATAACTAATGAAGTTATAGTTGATTGATATTATATGCATGTATTTAGTATGTGTGATTTAATTAATCATAATCTAATTATGGTTTATGATTTAGTATGCATATGCTCAATTGGTGGATGAATGTTTTAATGATGTGAATACTTTGAATGCTTGTGTTACATGATGATTAGGGTTTATATAACATTTGATGATGATTGATTAGTATTTAGGTGTTTGTTCAATGATTGAACATTGGGATTATTCCTTGATGAGTTTCAACTTTGGTGTGATTCTTCATTATGTATTCATATGGCAAATAGGTGATTAGATTTATATTGATGATGATTCGACCAATAACTATATTTAATAATTATTTGATGAATAAATATTAGTGTTGTGATTAGGTAGATTTGGCTTTTACCATGCTTAATGAAACTTGGTTAAAAGTCTATCTATTCATTTGTAGATTACAAGATAAATTTGGCTAAGACTACTTGAAGTGATCTGGTTATGTTTCCATATGTGTATTGAATGATTAAGCATTTGTTATGTTCTTTAGTGTCTTTTGTATGTTATTGTTCAATGTTACTTGGATGAATGTTATATGTTTATTAATGGGAATGCTTGATATATGTTTGGAGAAATTACTTGATTGCATTCATACCATGAAAATATTTTCGGTATGTTTTTATGCATTCAAAGAAAAGGGAAAGTGCATGGTTTTTAAGAAAACGACTAGACACATAAAGGAGGGCCGAATATATACATATTTGGTAGGTTGCACCCGAAGAGGAAAAAAGAAAGGAATGTCTCTAGAGCTTTTATATTTCTATGAAAAGAAAAATTTTTAAAAGGGCCAAATATATACATATTCGATAGGGTGCACCCAAAAGAGAAAAATGGATTTCAAACATAAAAATTGATTTTATTTGTATTCAAGCATGGTTGCACTTACCGAGTTTTAGCTCACTAGTTGTCTTATGATGTAGGTGGTTCAATGATGTGTGATGACTTGATGTGAAGTGGAAGATGATGTCGAAGCGATGAAGCTTACCAAATGTGTACTATAACTAGAGGTTAAAATTACATGTTTACATATTTTCTATGTTACATGTCCTAAAACTATTTGTAAAGTTATAATACTTGTTGAGCATCTATAGATCGTTAATAAATAAATAAATTGGGATGTTTACAAGTTAGTTTATGCTAAGGAAGGTCTAATAAAATAATTAATGAAATGACTTAATAACTGGTTTAGCACTATAAAGAAGAATTAATAATATGACTTCTAAAGTTTAATAAAATGGTTTCTAATAACTTAGTAAAATGATTAAACAATATAATATTTAAAAGGGTTTCAATGATCATCTATTTTAGTAAACATGAATTGGTTTTCATAATAGTACTAGATTATATTTAATGAATTAATACTTGAAATGGATTTTAAGATAGTTAAGTGTTTATAGAACCTGGACCAAAATGGCTTTTAATGAGTTAACCCAAGTTTTGAGTTAGTTTTTAAACCAAATAGTTTTCTATTATGATGGTATGTTAAATATTAAGGAGAGGACATGAGGCTTAATGTCTCACATTCATTGTATTTCAAGTGTGAGGCATTACCGGTAATATTCTTGGCCTTAGTTAGGTCGAGGGTGTTACAAAAGTGGTATCAAAACCAGGTTTAACCTAGTAGACTTTAGTAGACCTCATGGTACATGCAAGCTTGGGCTCTAACAATATCATCAAAAAGTAAGTGCTTGTATTGGTTGAGTATGTTGCTTGTTTATTGTTTGTCGGTGTGTTTGATGAAAGAAGAACATGCTAAGGAAGAGAGATATGGAAGAGTCAAGTAAGTCAAATTTTGAGGAAGAAATTTCTATAGAGGGGAAGGATGTAACACCCTAAACCTTAAGTAGTCCTATACATATGTATGTTTGTGTGATGTGTGTGATCACTTGTTTAAAGTGTTAGTGTGGGTGCCCAATATCTAACCATATTTGGATGAGTTTGAGT